GGGGGAGTTTGTGGGGGGACATCATATTTTCATATCTAAGAAGTAACGGGTCGAACAGCCGACGCCGTGTGTGGGGTCGGAGTTAAGGGGACACGGATGCGGCTAACGTACAACAACTGGCGCGGTACCGGGTAATTGAGGTGTGTGTAAGTTTGCCGTACACTCAAATGCGCCGGATGCGTACCTCGGGGCGGTTCTTGGCGAGGCAGGTGCGCAGGAAGCTCTCGTTGTACGGCGCTGACGTCAGACTGACGCCGGCTGCGGGGTTCAAGTGTCCGCGATAGGCTCGGGTCGGGTTACGTCCGGGATGAGATGATGCGTGTGTGTGTATGTATGTGTGTGTGTGCACACACGCGTGCATGTGTGTGTGCGTACGTAGGTGTGTATGGGGAAGTTGGGGTTGGGGTGGGGGAGGGGCAGGCACGTGCGACATTCGGCAAAACGCGAAACGCCTCCTCGGTCTCAAAACGGAAAACGAGCCCCCCCTCCCCCTTCCCCTCCCCCCCCCGCGGCGAGCCACTTCCGAGGGGAAAAAACACCGAGAGGGAGGGAAAGGGCTGATTGGGGCTCTTAGGTAGCACATTCTGGTGGGAAGCAGGGACGGAGGAAAGCACGTGTAGAGGGATGATGATGTGGACAGCTAAACTCCCCCCCGCACCGCTAGTGGCGAGAGTGACCCATTGCGATACACAACCCCACTCCCACATCCAAACCAAGTGCTCACTCTCAGGACCCCCACCAACTCCCCACCCCCCCGCCCCGCCCAATATGAACTGGCGGCCGCGCCACTCACTCGCGTGAAACGTGGAGGGGCCCCCCGGTAGCGACAGCCCGGGTACGGCAGTGGCGGCCGCGGCCGACGCGGTGGCGGCGGCTGGCGCCGTCTTGGGCGCCGGTGGCGGCGGCGGCGCCTTGGGCGTGGAGGACTTGGGCGTCGATTTAGAGCCCCCTGCGTTTGTATTGTGTGTGGGGGGTTGGGGGGAAAGGGGGCCGCTGGTGAAGCTTAACCACCCTGTAACAACATACATACATACATACATACAAGAGCACACCTACCCGTCTTCGACGCGGTCCCCGCCTTGGCGCCTCCCCCCCCCGCCAGCCCCGCCGGCTCAGCCCCGGGCTCCAGCCACCGGAAGTTCTGGGGTGCAAAGTCCGCGATGCACTCCCAGGACTCGCGGCGTAGCGGCGGGCCCCACTGAATGAGGTGCCTGCCCGTACTGGTGTTGTACGACATTACCGTACCCGTCACCCACGGCGGCGACAGGTCGGGGTACAGCCGCTGTAGCTTGCGGCCCACGAGGGAGGAGCCGGTCGCGCCGGGGGCCGACGGACCGGATGCGCCGCCGCCAGTCGTACCCGCCGCCGCCGGCGCGGCGGCGGCGCTGTTTGGCGTTGCAGCAGCTGATCAGGAAGCCGGGGGAAGGGGGGAAACCGGTTTCGAGCCATGGGTAGGCGTAGCGCGTAGCGCAACGCTGGCATTGTTCCCTTCCGTCAAAAAAGCAAATCTATTCTCCTGACAAAGCGGAAGGTGCTGGTGGCGGCGACGATGGCGACGAACCGAATGGTTTTCAAACGGGGGGAAATGTCGTACGGATATACGGTAGTTGCATTAATTGTACGGGAGATTAATATACAGCTTGGGGGCCAACAAGCGGAGACGGCAAGACGGAAACGGACAGCTCACTCTTTTTGGCAGCTGCCGCCTTTGGCTGCGAGGAGGAGTACGGCGCCGCGTCGAAGCCTCCACCTCCGCCAGTGGCTGGCGTTGCAGCGGCGGCGGCGGCGCCCGCTGTCGGCGGCGGCATCCCGCCGAACGGCGTTCCCCCCCTGCACTCCAAGGGGGGAACCCGAAGCCCCCGGGATGGTGGCGGGAAAATCAGATGCACACTCATACACACACGTAGAGGTGCCGTGCGATCCCACATTACCCCACTCCACATCATGCCCCGCGTGTGAGCCCCCTCCCCTTCCCAAACCCTCTTCCTGCTACCCCCCAACCCCGCCCCCACCCACCGCCACGTAACAACAGACATCACTTGCAATCTGCGGCCTCGCAATGTGGTGCAGGTGATTCTAGTCAGGTGATTCTAGTCAGGTGATTCTAGTCAAAGTACAGCATTCCAAATCTTCCCCACCCATTTCCCCTTGAAAACACCCCTACTGGTTACACAGCGGCACACCAACGCCGCCGCAGCTGCAGCGGCTCCCACAAAGACAGCAGTTGCGGATGCTGATGCCGTCCCCACGTGACGGGGGCCCCCCAAAAGGAAAATACACACATTTCCAATTTTCCCCCCTCAACCGTCACCATCACCACCCACCACCACCATCACCACCACACGACACTCACCCCACCCCACCCCAGGGGACCCGGTCTCCCCCCCTCCAAAGCATTCATCTTCACGCTTCCCTCCCTCCCTCCCTCCCTCCCGCCACACACCTCCCACCTCCACATACGGGAGAAGGGAGAGCCCCGGGGAACACGGGGCCGCCGTTACCCGCCAAAGCAGGCTCCCGGTCTCCCCCCCTCCCAGCTAATCACCCCTAGGTCCCCCGTCGGCCATCAACATCCCCGCAATTCACCGTAGTTCAACCCTTAAGGACACCCCACCCCCCAGCCCCACCTGGAGGACGGCAGCAGCAGTGGCCGGATACCCCCCGGGGGAAGCTCGCCGCGCCTGGAAAAGGGAGGGGGGAGGCAGCGGGAGGGAGGGGAGTCACGAAAGGACTGGGGCCCAGGTGGCGCAGACGTGGGAGCAACGGCGCGTACGTGTGCGCATGTATGTATGTAGGTATGTATGTATTTATCAGCGCATGCCAGACGCTAACTGTCTCCATTACCGCCAGGCTCTACTCTGGGCTGAACAGCCTAGCAGCCCAAGTGTGATTATGCCCCGATCGAAGAGGTGGTGGCCGTGCCGGAGGGGGAGGGCGGCCCCGGGGACATCTGGCTCACTAGGGCTTCTAAAGCCTCACTCTAACCCCCCTCCCGCATACCCTCATACGAGGCCGACCCCCCTTTGTGTGTGTGTGTGTTGTCTTGTGTGTGTGTGTTGTGTGTGGGGGGGGGTTGTGGGGTGTGTGTGTGGGTGTGGGGGAATGCAGCAGAGTCAGAGAGGCACAGCACCTGTACTCCCGAACCTGCTGAGTCGGCGGGGAGGGGTAACATGGAATCTAAGACCGATGAGAGCGCCCCTTGGCAAACTCTCTTTCCCTTTCCCTAGGGAGGGACATCAACAATTACAGGTAGATGCAATAGGACGCGGGGGAACTGACGCACATGTTTGACCCACATCGCACCTGAGCGCGGCAATCCTTGGGTCTTGATCTATTTGCGCACGTATTGTCTGGACGGGTTGGGGGAGGGTGGCAGGGCGGGAAGTGTGGCCGGAGGACAAGCAGCAGCAGAGCCGCAACGAGTCGGGAGTTGCGGGATCGTGTGAGGCGAGATTTGTGATTTTGTGCAAAGTCTTGAGGATTGGGAAAGGTTGTGCAGCTGCAAACTTATGAAGGTAGTACGCACAAACACGAGAGAAGGACGCCGGGGGAAAGAGGGGGCCCTGGAAACCAAAAGCGCGGGAGACCTGAACCCGGGGTCTTTCCTGTTCTTTCCAGGGAAAATTGGTCCGGGCTCTTACCCTGTCCTCCTCCTCGGTGACGCCAAGAAGGTCACGAGCGTCCTCCAGCAGAACATCAGTTTCCTGGCGCGAGGATTCCTCAGGTAGTCTGCAAAGAGGCGCTTTTGTCTAGCCATCGCGCTTCCCTCAACTGCTTACCGGTGAGTACAGCTTATCTTTGCTCTGCGCCGCAAATGCTATGCACAAGGCGTGATATGCATCTTTTCCAAGCTGCGCTATCGGGTCCATCCGCGCTCCGCGGACGCCGCCTTCAAATTACCGCTAACGTTCGCTGTGTCTAGAAGCTCAGCTTGAGCAACCTATCATTTTCAAAGAGTCGGTATGACTCATGAAGCGCTTGCATAAAACATGCTGACTAGCGCAAAAGGAAGCCTTGTCAAAGCGCGGAAAAGAAGTTACACCAACGTGCAAGAGGTTACTTGGTAAGCTGTGGGAACGTCGCGTGATGCAGTTCCTATGCATTAACGGAAAGGAGGAGTTACAGAAAGGACTTAAACGCGAAAGTAAAACTTTGACTGCATCGGAGTACGGCGATGGAAGCAGAAGCATGATAGAGGTAATCGGGGTATGAGTAAACAGCCATTAATCTCTTCACGAATAGCTTCCTACAATGTATGTGCACAAATTACTTAGGTGCCCAAATCATGGGCTTGCTTTTGGGAGCTTTGCATTCCCAGTCCTGTCACGGACATCAATCGTGGTGAGCAGGATTGCATGGGAGAACTGCCTTGTCCTTCTTTGGATGGATAGAAATTAGCTGTCGATCTTGCTGGGCCACGATAGGCTGACCTTGCCACCGCCATTGCTTGCTAAGGCGTCAGGGGAATACTGCTATGCAACATGTGATTGAAAGGAAGGTTACAGCGCCTAAGATCTCGGCCAAATCCGCTTGGCGGTGTCCATGGCGCACTGCAGACCCACGCAAAACGGAAAGGCGTCGGCAAGGGGCTCCGGGAGCTGCAGCAGCTGTAAGTGGGCGAAGCGCTGGGTGCAGGCTTCATAAACCGGCATGTGTAACCTCCTGCGCGACAAACAATGAATCTGTTGTTGCATGCCATCTCCTCACCTTTTTGTCAGTCCATGGCTCCCCACGCCGCACAAGCATTCGCATTTCTTGGCCGATGTCCTGTTTTCCCACAGTCGATGCTCTTTCTCTCTTTCCCCCCCCCCCCCTCTCTCTCTCTCTCTCTCTCTCTCTCTCTCTCTCTTCCTTCCTTCCTCTCCCAAGCCAGCCAGCCAACCTTCACCACCCCAGCCTGCTTCGGGTCATCCAACCCTGCCGCTCATTCTCCTCCCAACACTATAACCCCTGGGCTCTCAATCCGCCTCCTCAAGGTTCCGCCCTAAGTCGGTAGCTTCCACTTCCTATCCGTTGCTCCCAGGACCCTAAAAGCCGTTCATGTCGGGGAATTCGTTTGCTCCATGTCCCTTCATCAAAACCCTTGTCCCCCTCACACCTACGGCCGCTTATCCGCAGAAAGGAGAGCTCTGCGTCGGCGGCGGTCACTGCACCCTCGCCTCCATCCCCCGCTCCAGCTACCCCCCTCTCTGGCCCCGTGCCATCACCTCCGCCAGCATCGACCGCAACGCCCTCCTCCTCTTCCCTGCCGCAATCCAGCGCTTCGCCGTTGAGTGCCAACACCACTAGCACCACAAGCAGTAGCAGCATCGTGAGCAACAACAGCACCACTAGCAGCAGTAGCAGTGGACCATTTGATAGTCTCCTGGTTCGGATTTTAGCGTCTGTGGCAGCGATTATGGCGGTGATTAGCGTTTTCTACAGCATCGTGTTTTACGGCGCATCAAGTGAGGAACTAAACTGAGGGTCGGGGAAGCTGTGAAATGCTGCAAAGTGTTGATACGTTTTTTTTTAGTTTAACCTTCCTCTCCGCCCCCACACGATAACCGCCTCGCCATCAAACCACACGCCCTCTGCGCTTTCCAACCTTCCCCCCGTTTCCCCCATCCCCGTTCGTGGTTCGTGTGTCCCTCCATCCCCCTATCCCGGGCTCGGCTCATGTTGATTCCCCTAAACCCACGCACTTCCTCCGGCGGCTGCGATGCTCCGAAACCAGATGCCGTGTACTTTTTTAAGGACCAGCTGGCGGTCATTACGAAGAAGGACTTTGTGCCGTACTCGGAGAGACGCCGGTTGGAGCAGGTTGTGGGCTTCTGGTGCTGGGGGTGATGGGAAGTCTATGATGAGGATGATTATGGTGCTATAATCACAAAAGATGCGACTGCCACGTCCAGGGACCGGGATAGGGGTTGGCTAGCGGTGTGGAGGGGCGGGCGATGAAGGGCGGACAGGGGAGACGGAGGTCTGGCTTATTCGGATGGTCCAGTCGATATGGCCCCATGTTTGGTTGAGGAGGGAGGGCAGGGCAAGGGCAGGCAGGGCAAGGCTCCCAAGCCTCTCGCACGTCTTACCCCCGACCCCACCACCACCGCAACATGTGTAATTCCGTGTGTCCCTGTCTGTCCGTCCGTCTAACAGTAAACTTGTGTGTACGGCAGGAGGTATTGGCTAAGCTGGAGGCGGAACAAGCTGAGCGGTTGAAGGCGCGGGAAGCAGGCGGTGAGGCGGCGGTGGTGGCGGGAGAGGAGGGAGCTCCGGAACCATCGAGGGACAGCATCACCGCCACCACGGCAGCAGCAGCAGGTGGAGGAGTGACAGGGGCAGCTGCCGGGGTGGAGGAAGGTACGTACGGTACTCGTCTGTATGTATGTACGCGTGTTGGAAGGAGATAGAGGGTGGGGGAAGATGGGCGGGGTCGGGGCGGAAAGGGTGTGTGTGCGTGTTTATGTGTGCGGCGCACTTTTTGGCGGTGACGTGGAGCGACGTGGTCCGATCGGCCGCGGTCATTTGGGGGTGAATGGATGCGGGGGATGGTCCGGGATGGGTGAGGGGAGCGCAGGTCTTGATGCGGTATGTATGTATGTATGTATGACTTAGATTACACTGTGGGCCGCAAGAGCCGGGGGCCGAAGCCGAAACATAACGCAAGGGTCGGGAACACATAGCGCAAGTCGGTTAGTCTTGTGTGCTCTCGACCCCGACTCAGATGTATGTATGTGAACGGGAGCGGCGGACGCGGAGGCGGAAGCTACACAAAACAGATTCTGGTCCTGGGCGGCTGAGGTGTGGCGGTTTATGTGTTGGTGGTGGAGGGGGTGGGGTTAGTGAACTGCTCCTCTCCCCCCGAACTGCCCGCCCGCCCGGGAGCCACACACCAGCTCCTGTGTATTGTACTGTGTATTATATTGCATTGTACTGCGCCGCGCAGAAGGCTGCCATCCTTCCGCCCCCATATAAACCGAGCAAACCCTGACCCCCGCCCACACCCGTGATCTACCACCGGCACTGGTACTGCACATGCCACCCCAACCCACTGCCACGAAGCACCAATTCACCGCTCAACCCATCCCCCTCCGTATGCCCTATCCTGTCACCATGTGTGCCATCGCCATCATCTCCATGTCCTCCTCTCATCCACCCTTTTCTCCTCATCCATCCTTCCTTCCTCCTCCGCCTCGTCCATGCAGATGCCAGCAGCTCGGCCGAGCTGCTCAACCTGCTTCCGAGCAGCAGCGGCAGCCGGAGGAAATGAAGGCGGGGGGGGAGGAAGAGAGCGAGAGAGGCGCGCACGAGGGATAGGGATAGGGAACGTGGTGGTGGAGAGCGAGGAGGGGAAATGCGGGGCAGTCAAGCAGTGCTTGGCTGGATTGTGAGATTGTTCGGCTACGCTCTACAATTTCGCGACTCGCCGCATTCGCTCGTTCCCTGCTTTGCATAGCGCTTTAGAGAAGGATTCCTGGACGCCTCGCACTGTGCATTAACTTTTGCTTCATGTGACAGATAGCTCTTTCGTATCTCGAAAGCGTTGGAGCATACATGCACTCGTAATTATGAATTTGGTTAGGATATCAGCCTTTTACCATTTGAGGCCCACCCTAAGTTTATTCACATTCAGTTTATAGCAGCAACCGTACAGAACAGCCACCCGCTATCTACGACGGAAGGCGTCGGTACGAAAAACAGTAAAAGCTGTACATGCGTTGTAGCAAAACTGTGGCCGAGCGTCGTCATAACAATCGCATAGCGTTTGACGAACGTCGTCAAAGTTCGATTTGGTTTATCTTTGCGTTGTGATCCACACCAGTAATAAGATCTTTGCAACACGAGAAAAAATCCACCCAGACACTGCTCACGCGACCTTTGGTCGTGTAGGGTCGATAATGGTGTAACCTCGACTACCCAATTTACGTGAGTCACACATGCGAACTGAAACACCCAAATCAAATATGTCGGGTCCTATGGAATCCTTCATTCGTTATTGATCGTATGCACGACGCCGACAGCAAGGCGTCTCCGGTTCTTGAAATGACGGGCAGCGTGGCCTGGCGTGGCGATTGCTAAGCCCGCAGGCTCAAGCCATGCACAGCCTCTTACCCTGATAGGTTTTACACGCAAAATACTTCAAAATACCAGAACGCTTATTTAGGTGTTCCTTTGGCCGTCGGACATGCGTAGGCCACTACTGGACGTAGATCGACAGCGGGCACCCCTCCCCCTTCGCTACGTCCCGCGAAAGGTGGGCGGAGCTATGGACGGCGGTGCTTCCCCTCGGGATCTTAGGAGGCGTGAAAAGCGCCCTAATAACGGCGTGATTTGCGGAAACCTCAAAAAGCGAGAGGAATCCTTTTAGAAAGAGTCAACCCCCTGGTGAAACTTTTACGAGAGCGAAGCTCCTTACAAACGTTCGTCTGCTGGCGCCAAGCTTACATTGTATTACATCATACCGCCAGATCGTAATCCTGGCTTCGGCCCAAAAATGTCCCCGATGTTAGGCCATGGCGTTCTTCGCATCGCGTGTTCGCCATGGCCCTCCAACTCTTCAGCAGTTTCCGGAATTCTGTTCACTTCAAAGAGCGTTCTCATCGCAGTGGTGTCCGAGTATATGACTGGTCACATCAGATTATCACTATTACGTTTAAATCAGAAGCAGCAGCAGTAGTAGTACGCAAAGCCGTGCAGCTTTGCGTACTACTGCTGCTGCTTCTGATTTAAACGCGTTCTTCCTAGGTCTGGCGGTGAGAAGAAATCACCCACCGGGAGAAGCGCTGCTGTTCCACGCTGCTGTTCCTGTCATTTGATTGCCTGGTCGCTCCTGGTGGTTATTCCATACCCCGTCCTGGTCAATCCTATACTTTATAATCAAGGAAGATGCATTCGGAGGTCTCTTATCTCCAATGTGCCAGGAAGAGGCAGTAGTGCCTTTCCAGCCTGGCCCTTCATTCCAGATATCCTCGAGACTTAGCGCCTGCAGCTGACACTTTAGTGTGGAACTGTCAACAAACGGCCGGGGTCACGGAGGGAGGTTGTATGTGTATGCGTGTATGTGTGTTTTTATATGTATGTGTGTATATGTGTGTATGTGTGTGCGGTGTGTGTGCGGTTGTGTGTGCCATTGTGTGTGTGGCGTGCCTGAATGCCCTTTGTCGGCGTTGCGATTGCGTATGTATCTTTTCCTTAACCTTACACGGAGGACCCCCCCCCGGATGTATAGCTGGCGCGGCGAGCGAGCGAACATGAATGCTAGCGAGTGAACACGGATGCGAGCGAGCGAGCATGAGTGGGAACGAGCGAACACGAATGCGAGCGAGCGAGCTTATCATGTGCTGTTCTAGACTAGGATACGGTTATACATAGCAGTAATCACATTTGTGATTCGTACAGTGCCGTACCTTGCCAAACCTTCTCCCCGGCGTGATGAGCAGCAGTAGCGAATACGAGAGGACAAGGATTCCTAATACATACCTTCCTGCCCTTCGCTAGACCCGGCCACATGCGCTGATACCGACACTGTGCGAATCTGCACTGCGTGCTGCGCGGGAGCGGCCAACCGCGATTGACAGCATGCGCGCGTCTGTTTTGATTATGGCTTCCGAACCAGCGTTGGGGCCAAACCGAACCTACCTTGTTAATGGATGGTAAGGCCGTTGCTTAATGGATGGTAAGGCCGTTGCTGCATGGACGACGCTTGTCGGGTGCGCGGAGCTATTAGAAGAGCTGGCTGCTGGTCAGGTGTCAGTCGCGCGGACCAGATCCTGCAAGATAGGCCTTTCCAACCAGCCATGGATGTTTTGGAAACAGGATGCAAATTGACACTGTAATAGAAGTAACACAAGCGGTCCTTGGGCCCGTGCGCCCTGGCCTGGACGTAGCATAGGGCGTAGGTCGCTGGGACTGCAGCACGGGAGGAGTGACCAGTAAGCAGCTTGGCTTGGCAAGCCCTTGGCAAGGGTCCTGCCAAGCACACAATGTTCCTGGCTGGCTGTCAACACGCAACGCAGCAGGTCGCAACGCATTGCACCGGCAACCCGAAAAGCTGAACACAAAAATCTGTGCCTGCAAAACGGCTTCAATCTATTCGAGACATCTGCATCTCTCTTTGATACAGAAGCACTGGAAGACCATAGAACGGTCAAGAAAAATTGCTTATGAAACCAATAGTTTGAACTCGCTTGGTACGACAATTGCACAATACTGGAGTCCAAGGCAGGAACGGCTTTGTCCTGGAGCCATACTAAGGTGGGCACCGCGTCGACGTAAGCTACGCCGGGCGACATATTTGTTCTCCTTCGCAAGCTCTTTCGCAAGAGCATTTACTGTAAAAGCTGCTGAGTCTTGTCCACAAGCATTTGGGCTCGCGTTGATTGTTCGCGTTCTACGGAAAAGAGGGCAACAAGAATGTCCAGCATCGGACCTCTCGGGCCTCCGCCCACGGCCCCAATCGTCAATCCTATCTTGTGGGCCCCAGAGCTCCCGACGAACAGGCCGCAGGTGGGGTATGAGTTCCAGAAAACAAGTGTAGTAAATCAAGGGAGGCACAAATTACCAATTGTAATGTGACGCAAGCTGCTTTCACCCGCGAAGCTGTCTCGACGCAAATCAAACATAATTTTACAAGTACATTCTACATCGAGTTAGGCGGCAGACGTAGGCTGCACCTATCTTCGCAGTTGCAAAAGCAGCAACCTTTTTGCCAGCATACGCAGCGGGCGAATCGGGAATCAAAAACACATCCGTTGGGCTGTGAAAGTCCTTTTCACATTTCACAGACGTTCCCGAATGGCGGTGTTGCCCGTCCTGCCGCTCCTACTTAGCCCTAGCGCCTCACCCCGCCCCTTCTCCTGACTGCCGCCGCGGCGGCTGCGGCGCTGACCCAGATGCACGTGGAGACGGCGGCGGCGGTGGCGCCCGGCATCCGACGGCACCTGGTCGCCGCAGCGCCGCCGCCGCCGTGGGCGGCCGAGGGCGGGCCCCCGTCGGAGCGCCACGTGGTGACGCCGACGGAGCTTGAGGAGCGCGCAGCGGCAGTCCACGAGATGACCTTTCACAAGACGTCAGAGTTGTCAGGTGCGTGGGCGGCTCGTACATGCCGTACAGCACGTGGAACATGGGGTTTTGGAAAGGCGACGACAATTTTGTTGCGCTGCGGCTTGAAGTGGAATGCGTATGTTGCGTGGTGTGCGCATGTGTGTACTACTTGTGTATGTCTGTCTGTCTGCCTGTCTGTCTGTTTGCCTGCCTACATGTATGTATGTATGTGTGCATGCGTGTTCTAAAGCCTCCTCCAACTGGCCCCAGGGGTACATTTACGCGTATCCTTGTTAAGGGTGGGGGCAGAGGGGGGGCGGCAGGAGAGAGGCGGCATACATACAAGGCATAGAACTTAAGGGGTGCGAGCTGGGTGGGCGGCATCACCAGGATGATGAGCCCAAATAGAATTCAAAACAAGGCCAACGCAAACACTGGGGTCCTGGTGAAGCAGCTGCCCGCGTTCGCAAAGTATACAGATGTGGAAGGTGCCGAAGTACGTCGGTGAAACATAATGTGGCAGGACTGGAGAGAATAGTGCAGCAGTATATTGTGAGTGTAGTTGAAGCGTGTTACAAGGCGTTCGGCGCACGGGCGAATTTACGTGCATACCTTTCATCGTGGGCGCGTCCCGTTGCAAGCTAAGCAACGCGTATACATGACGTGTAGCATCAGTCCTCAGTTCACTTCTTGGAACGAACATCAGCATAGGTCCAAGCCCTCTCGCTTGGAGGGATATGCAAACAAACATCATGATAGGTAAACTCGCACGCTACCGAGCATTCAACCGAGCACGCTACGAGCAGTCCTTGTAAGGAGCAGCATACCACTCACGGCCGTATGCGCAGCAAAAAGCTGTTCCAAGCCATCAGCGGCGTCCGTGTCACCCACACGGCTGTGAACGACTTTTCTGATCTTATGCTTATTAATTAAGTTTGTGTATGTTATATTTTGTTTGCGCAAGTTTGTAATTTGACTTTGCTCTGAACAAGGTGCTGTATGTGTTGCGCTACCAAAAGCAGGCGCCCCTTTGCTTTCACAAAAGTGCCGCTTCGCCAAACGCTTCCTCTTCCCGCGGCCGTTTTATGAGCCCAGTCTTGCAAGCTACGTTGTATGCTTTCAGTTCTTTTTCGGCTCAGGCTTTCAGTTACGTCAAAACAGCCACCCATTCGTCCGGGCCTGGTTGCCGCGTGCGACTGTGGCCAACATGCCCTCCTGCGCAGCGCGCTGGCACACCGCGGCCTTTCGCCAAACAAATGACATACACTTGTACACGCGCATTTTGAGAATCGCACGCGCGCCTCCGCGCGGTAAAATTCGGGCCTGGCTTTTTGGGCGTCTTGTACGGAGGGTTTATTCGGCACAGTACGACCGGACACAATTGTGCGAGGGGCTGCTTAAACAGCCCCGTCGTTTTAATGTACGTAGTTTCCTTGTTTCGTCCTAGCAATTAATACAAACAGGACGAACTAACCGACCCTAAACTGATTTTCCATAGTAGCGCTGACTCATCCTTATCCTTATCCTGGGTGAAATCCTACGATATATTCAGCGTTTAGATGTGCGGTGCCGTGAAAAAGGCAAGCATCTACTACTGCATGAGCCCGCCTCTCATCCGCCTTGCTGCTGTCGTGGTACGGCACAGGTGCTCGGCTAGATCCACACGATCCAAAGGCGCCCTTCGGCGCCACCGCCAAGGACGACCAAGGGGAACCGCTGACGGAACGTGAGGGGCCCGAGGATGATCCGTACGGCTGCAGCACCGGCGTCACCGTCAGTGGCGGCGCCAACGGCGGTTGCGACGGCGGCGCCGCCGGTCCCGCCGCGGCGGCTGAGGAGGAGATTTTGTTGGGCGATGGCACGCTGGCTTCGGCAGAGGTGGCCATTGCGGTGCTGGCCAGGGGCGGGGACGACGGCGGCGGCAGGAGCAGCGCTGCTTGAAAATGAGGGTCAGGTCCAGAGGTACTCTAAGCAGCAGCAGTATGGGCAGTAGCGGCAGCAGCGGCGGCAGTAGCATATGGACAATAAGAAAGGTGGCTGGATGGGGGAAAAGGCGAAAAGCTGCCGCAGGCGGCTACAGCGAATTAGTCGACGCGGGGTCTGAAGTTGGAAGTATGAATGGTTGTCCTGTTATGTGTTGTAATTCTTTGCTTTATCGTTTTGCTGCATTTTGCTGCCTCGCTACGTTGTTTGAATGTTTTCTGGGGTCAGTGTTATCAGTTCTTTTTCCTACTGTATCATACCGTGTTATGTTGTTTAGTCTTAAAGTCGGCCTAATTGTATTTCAGTCAAATACAATAAAGAGTGGGTTGTCTGAGCATAATTTTGTTTACTAAAATTATGCTCAGACAGCCCTCCTCTTATTTTCATCATTAAAATAAAGATAATGAAAAAGAAATTCTAAGGACCGGGGTTGAGGGGTGTAGGAAGGGGACCTTGCGTCTTCGCAAGGTCCAAGTCCGCAAGTTCGCAAGTCCAACCTCCACGGGCGATATGTGGTTCATATACAGCTGCTGCATGGCTCAACGCGAAACATATGCTGGAATTCTATTTTCTCGTTTGCAACGAGGTCCTCACGAGACATCATCACGGTCTCTAAGGTAATCGAAGAAAAGCAACCTGTGCTTGCGATGCTGGAATAGATACATTGTAAAACACTGATACGAATCAAGGCCACTTGAAAAGCCCACTGACACAGGATCCACGTATGGCGAATCCGGTTAGTAGTCAACAAGCAGCTGCTTATTTCATAGTTATGTTTTCGTGCTGGTTAGAGCAGTGGAGCTGGTCTTGCCAGTACGCAGTACCATAAAGATCGGGACGAGCATGTTAGGCGACAACTGCAATAGGGCGCGCGCACAGTTATATACCGGATAAACGCTATCTATTACCAAACCTGTAACTCCTCCGAGAACTTACAATCAAGGATGGCGCAGTCTGAAGCCCCTCTGCTACAGGCCATTGAGGACCTGGACCAGCTGCCAGGCGTCGTTATTAAGGAAACAACGCAGGTTATAGATGCGGTCATGGCCTCCATCGGTGGTGCCTACGAGGCGGCCAACAAGTACAAGGTCAAAGCGTTGCCAGCGGACAAGCGCCTCGCGACGGTGCACAATGAGCCGGGCACCTGGTCTCCCTCCTCTAAGGAAGTGGATGCCTTACCGGAAGTGTATTATGTCGAGGAGTCTTCGTCCTGCTGTCTGCGTGTATGCCTTGCGCACTTCGGTGGCCTGAACCTTCGGGCTCTCCAGCTTCACTTTTATCAGGGCAATAAGGAGAAATACACGGTTCAGCGACCCTGCAAGCTCGGCGGGTGCTGCTGCTGCCCTCTGGAGATGAGCCTATTCGCCAAGGACGGCACACTGCAAGGGATGGTAAGAGCGCCAGAGTCCTATCGTTGGTGGTGGTGCTGCTGGTCGTGGGCGAAGAAATACATTCCTGTTTTGCAGCGTGACCCATTGGGTGACCACCCGTGATCCATTGGGTGACCACCCGAGCCTGGCGCAGGATGACCAACCCCTCTGGTTGTGGCCAGTTTCTGGAGTACTTTCTGCTGCCTTTTGGCTGAACTGATGTTTCATTGTGATGGTGATGGCCGTTGTGTGAGGGAGGAGCGGCTCTTTCCTCCTCCGAAACCGATATCACATCGCACGGGGCAATTAGGAAGCCGTCACATCGTAGCCAAGACATTCTCTCCTTAGACTTGCGCACACGGCGCTCGTTTCCCCCCTAGGCTGCGTGTTGCATATCTGAAATTCGGCACCGCAGCGCGCGAACTGCAAATTACAAGCCATAAATCAAAGCTTTCAGAATTTTTTTACAGGATCCTTATGAACGGGCTCGTTCTGGACGTTTCGATTACGGAAATCTGAACGTTTCCAATACGAATGTTGGGCAGGCGCCATCGGTGACGCTGCTTTGAATTTGTCGGGACAGTAGGCATCAGCAAATCCACCAAGCTTCTGACCAAGACCAAGCAGAGGCTAATGAACACGATTATTGCTATGATAACACCAAAAATGTTTTTCCAGGGATGTCGCCATCCCTCACATGTTCTCTTTGTCTTCTACCACTTGCAGCGTTAGTTGCTCGTTTCTTCTCCCCCCGCCTTCTTCCTTTCCCTCCTTCCTCGCGGTCCGCCTAGGTTGTTGAGGACTATGACGGCTACTGCTCCAAATATTGCGAGCAGTCCTGTTTGTGCACTTATCGACAGAAGGTATTGGTGGGTTCGTCCCGCAACAGTCTGGTCCACAAGTACTCGCTGGTCAGCCCCATGTGCTGCTGCGGACGGGTCAACAATTGCTGCGGAGCAACGTGGGTGAACGGGTGCATGGGGTCGAGGGAGGGGCCAGAGGGGAGGAAGGGTGTTTTATGTACTGTCAGTGGATACTGACAGACCGGGCGCTTGGGCATTCGTTTTGGGCTGTGGAGAGTGTTGCTGCTGCTGCTGCTGCTGTTGTTGTTTTAGTGGGCTTCTTATAGCTGCATGTATGATGTGGGTGGCGGGGTGCAGAGGGAAGCTCTGGAGGAGATTGCCGGAATTCATTCGGTGGGACTTGCGGGGAGAGACGGGGAGTTGCGCGATCGCATCCTCAAAACACAGCATCGAGACACGACACACTCCCCGGGCCCCTCTGCAAAGCCTCTTAAGGGAACATGGACCCCGCCCCTCCTCTTCCTCTTCCTCTTCCTCTAACCAACAACCCTTACCGCAACAAGCGCTCTCTCCCAAGCTCCCGCCACACAACCCCTCCCTCCCAACGATGCACAACCCCTCCCCCAACCCCTCCCGTCACCATCACTATTACCACCACCACCGCCAGGTGTTGCAAGCCGCAGCTGTTTATTGACATTGAGGAACCTGACGGCACACTGGCGGCTGTGGCGCATAAGACGTACGGCGGCGGTCGGGGTTGCACCGACTGCTGCCGCTGCGTCTTTGACTTTAGCAACTACGTATTACCCTTCCCGCCTAAGGCCACCCTTCAGGAGCGGGTGCTGCTGCTGACGGCCATGTTGAGCATTGAGTACGCGTACTTCAGCCGAAGGGGTGGAGAGAACAACGACTGAGATAGGGGACCCCGCGGAATGGTACCTTTGGGGGGAAGGGGAGGGGAGGTGAGGTGGTGGAGATGATCTAGGAGATTATCCTTATCCGAGGTGGGATGATGCGGGTGGTGCTTGGGTTCGGGGGGAGGATGAAGATGAGGAGGAGGGAGGAAGGATAAGAAATGTGCACCTGCTGGCTGGCGCATCATGTGCGTGTGACTGCTTGAGTGCGTGCGAGTACATGTGTGTATGTGAGCTTTGGAGGAGACGTTGGTGCTGTTAGCGCCTCAGCACAGACAGTGTGTGTGCGTGCGAACGTGTATATCTATGGGGCACGCTTTGTCTCGTGCTGGAATCGGTTTATGGTGCGGAAGGAAGGTGTTGTGAAGGGTGGGAAGGTGGCGGCGGTCGGTGCCGCTGCTGCGGTACCCTTTGCGACACAACCGTATGTTTTTTCTACCTGTACTTGGTTTGTTAGATGTTTGTGTATGCTGCGGAAAAGGGGGAGGGAGGAACACATGGATAAGGATTAACGATGGCGCGCATCGTGGTCGGTTGGCAACATGTTTGTTATTATTTTAAAAAATTCGGGGCTGTAGTTTTGGACGTCAGTCTTGCTGTTTGATCATATGTCGATGGTGTCATAGTGCAATCATTGTCATTATCACGATCATCAATTCAATCGTATTTATCACCTATTATTGACTGCTGAGGTTCCCTGAAGTGCTGCATTTAGGGCCTTCCCCGTTGGTTGATTGGTTTCAGTAAATTGGTGGTTGGATTTTTTTGAGTACTGAGATTTGATGTTCGGGAAGGGAAAGGAAGGCGGCGCCGTGGTGGTGATGTGCCACTTGTGGTGGTGATGGCAGCACGTTGTATACGTAATTGTGATTATTACGGCCTTCCAAGATCCTTGAACGTGATTCCTGTCATTTTCGGGAAGGAAAAGTGGTGTGCACGGCGATCAACACCTCCGTCTTCCATCAGGACGCGTTGTCAAAGTGTTTATAGGATGGCGCCCTGACGGCTGATTATGGCAACCCCGCAAAGGGGGATGCTTGTGACTGCGCGGGCGCCTGTGTGTTATTTGTTATCCATGGGGAACATACAAGTTTCTGCCTCTTTTCCTTTGAGGCCTTGTTTTTCTTTGAGACCTAACCTATGTCCCGTGCCAAGGGCCGACGGAGCAGCGTCCCCTTCGCACGAGACGGCTACTGCAGCGTACCGTCCCCGGGGCCAACTCGCCAAGGGGCCCTTGGCGAGTTGTGTACTGTGTGCGTGTCGTTCTGTACGCCTGCGGTATCAGAAGTCTCTTTAGCTCGTAAGGTATTGAATCCTAATTCTGTAGCTGGTGAGGTTGTGCTCGCATGCATGGGATTTACTTCTCTAAGCCCTGTCTTGTATGTGCTTCCGGCCTGTAAATTTAGTTTTTTTTTATTTGAGCGCCGCGGTCTAGTGGCGTGCTGATTCGAAACTTGACAGCGATCTGGTAAATTTCGGTATATTGTGTGCTTGTGAAACAATCTGTGCTTAGGGAGCACCGTTCTCGCCTGGATGCCTGCGATTTCACGGAAGCACCGAAGCCTGTTACTATCGCAGTCAAATGACATGGTAAAAAACCTTTAACCACATGTACATTTCTCGTTCTGGAGGTAACGAACTAGCGTTGCTCTATTTGGTAGCGTGGGGCATGTCGTCAGTTTGAATTTGCCAGTCGTACTTGCAGAACAGGCGCCCAGGCGTTTCTCTTCCGAAGCCAATTTCCTCAGCACGTAGCCATAATTAATAAAAGTATGAAGTAAAGCGCTCTTGCCGCGATGATACTTGGTTGAACCTTTGCTAGTTGTCGCCTTCAACCTGGACCATGGTAGGTCTACCGTATTGTGCTTGACGCGCCGAAGACATATAGCAGCCTGCGCGGGTAGGCGTCAAATGTGCGACTGGCTCCTTGCGCGGGGCTGCCCCTGAAATTTACATGCTATACTCCTACCGCAGCCGCCCGCGGACACATTAAAATTATGCTCTAGCTGCGTGCCATCCTCACGTTACTGTTCTCCCGCGCCTGAGACGTCCTGACGGCCGCCGTGCAGCACTGCGACCTTCCCACGCTACAGCTATGACTGCGCAAGCTGGAACTTGACGGCGACGGCGGCAGCACCGCCGCCGCCGCCGCCGTCAGTTTTCACCAGCAGCAGCTTTCCTACCTCCTCCTGCTCCTCCCCCATCCAGCGACTCTGCACAACGGCCACGCGGCGGGGGCCGCCTGCCGTCGGGCAACGGTGCACCGTAAGGATGCGGGGGAGCGGCTGTGTTGGCTTTGTGAGGCGGGCTCCCTCCTTAATGATGATACCGGCGAGGCGCTGGGCTGTACGGGCAACTTGACGGCACTGCAGCAGTTGTTGGCGGGGGCGGCGCCCGTACGGTTATTTCCAGCTGTCGAGGTGGCGGCATGGGCACGATAGTCAAGGTGCTGATACCGAGCTGACGCTGGCGGCGGCGGTGGCGGCAGTGGAAGCGTAATCCTGTAGCACGTCGCCAAGACGGCAGCGCAGGATGGTCATTTGGCGGTTGTGGCGTGGGCTGGCGACGGCGGCAGCGGTGGTGTTGGCGGCTGGCGGTGTTGGAGAAGGCTTGCTGGCGGCGGCGGCGGCGCCGCTACTGGAGATGCTGCGCGCGGCGACGACGGCGGCGGCATCAAATAGTGGATCAACACCTCCAACCGCGAACCCCAGTAGCTAAATCCCTGTGCACCTATCGTAAATGGCAGGAATGTATGGATGCTATTGTCGCTCTTTTAGCTGATATCCCGGCGAATTGGAGACAGGCGGCTAGTCTTTTGTTGCCTCTGAGTGTAGAATCTAGGGAAGCGATGGTGCCCTCCATTGAGTCGGTTACCCAAACCCTGGTGTCGAGGCTTGGTTGGAGATGGGGTGTAGGGCCTCCAATCAGATTTCAAGATTTATCCGTTAAATTAGCGACTAATATGCAACTTTCACCATTTTCGATGGCTCGCCGTGTGGCCCACACCCTCTTCATCAAAGAGGCGACGGGCTCTTCTGAGGTATTGGATGAAGCTATTCTTATTTTGCAACGGACATTCCATCGTTTATGGTCTCATTTACGATGGGAAAATGAACAAAAAGAGGTTTGGTGGTGTCTCACGGTTGATGGGGTGCCTATGTTAGGAAGTTCCCATCTTAGGATGTTTTGGCCAACAGTATGTATTGTATTGTATTGTGGTTACAGTATTTCCGCCGCCGACGCGGCGGGTGCCCTCACGAGCCGTGAGGCTCCAGAGCACGCTGTTGACGCTCATCAAAAACCTCAGTAAGGAAAGTAGCGATTTTCCTCGGATTGGTATTAAGAAATACCTTGCGCATATCAGTATCTTCAACGTTAATCAGAAACCTATTACGCAACTCAGTATACGCCTCACACTCCATGAGCACATGATATTCATCCTCAACCTTACCCGACGTACAAACCTGACACGTACGGCACTCTCTCGGCCTATGGTGTCCTTTGTTGACCTCCAAAGGCCAACAACAAAGACGGAATTTGGCAACTATACGCAACTGGTTGACCGGCAAATAAACACGCAAATAGCCTGTGGGATCGGAGCCCTCTCTTGCTGGTGAAGGGGAGCCCATCCAGTTATGATACCTGCAAAGCGAAACCCCTTTACCTTGGAACACACGCGGATCACCCCCTTGGCTGAACTGATCCCAGTCACTTAAAAGGAACGCAGATAACCTCTCCAGAACCTCACCCACTCGAATCAACTGAGACGAATATACATCTACCTTCTGAGAAACGGAGTCACACGCCGGCCACTCATGGCCCAACCAACGCAAAATGATGAGCACTTTAGACGACCAGCAATCCACTTTGAGATCAGACAGAAGAGCCAGACGGAGATCATCTACTAACACGTCATGATAGACCGACCCACGGGACTTGACTATCTTATTCCAGAAACACAACGCAAGGCGTAACCAAAAGTACTGCAAAGGCAACTGAGACAGCTCCCTGTACAACAGCTTGTAAGGTACCTGCTTGAGCCCAGCACAACGTAAACAGAAGTCACGCTGGACCTGGACCATACCATCTTCCAAAGCCAAATCAAAATATGACTTACCAGCGGGTAAAACACCTTTCCTACCGCAGGACGGAGACAATCCTATCAGGACCCCAGACCTCAGCACCATAACAGAGAACCGAACGGACCTGGGTGTCGAACGCTTGAAGCCGAACGGCAGGAGCCCACACCCTGTTCTCATCCAACCGATTACTAAGACCGAACATAGCCCGTCGCCCTGCTTCCAAAAGTTCGTTGACACAACTCGCAAACGGGGACGCAGGGCCCCAATAGAGACCCAAGTACCTAACGCGACCACACCAGTTAATAGGACTAGGAACAAGTAAACTACCAACCATGGGTGGGTGCCAAAGCGACCCATCAGTACGGAGAGGAAGCATGAGCCTCACCCCCTCAAACGCCCTCTTAACGACATCAACGGAAGCAGCCACAACAAGGGCCTCACATTTCCGAACGTTGCAGCGCATACCAAAAGCAGCACAGAACTCAATAAGCAGCTTAAGCGAGAACTGGAGGCGTGCCAACGAGGTCGCGAACAAAGTAAGGTCGTCTGCATAGAACAACAGAGGCAACCGACGATCATTAATGACAGGACATTCGTGTGCACGTGTGTTGAACCATTCGTCCATACCATCCCTCGCTTCAAGGTAGTCGGCAATAACCTCAATGAAGAACCCGAACAAATTGGGACTCATGGGACACCCCTGCTTCACGCCCTGCAGAGAGGCAAAGATGGACCCTAGGCGACCGTTAACCTTGACCCGTTGGAGAACACGTTCGTAGCTGGCTTTAAGGGCCGTCAACATGGGTCCATGCACACCCCTCTCCTCAAGACGCTGCCACAGGCTTGCCCGGNGCACTCTATCAAAGGCTTTCTCAAAATCCACCTGACACGCATACAGGGCCTGATTGCTGCCGGGCCGCTCATAACGACTTTTAAGATGACGAACAACGAACAACTGATGAACTGTACTGCGCTTTTGACGGGACCCAGCCTGAAAACGGCACCGGACACCATCTTTATCCCCGAAAGCTGCCAGCCGCCTGTCG